AGTGCACTAAATTAAACCTATGGCATTCCAAATTCTTCTGGATAAATCATTTGGCTTATTTATTGAGGCACGCCTCTATAGCTGTCTCTTATACACATCTAGATGTGTATAAGAGACATCTGTACTACAATCCAGGAAGTGGTAAAACTGTCTAGATGCCCTCAGAGTTGAACAGGACCCAGTTAATTGGGGATGGATGAAGGACGACAACAAATTTACTCCAGTTTGGAGCTCTCTGCCGAACTTTTAAATGTAACCAAGATGTTAATTCGTTGTGGACACACAAACCAGTGGCGGATCCAAAGGGGTTTAGGGGTTCCGACGCACCCCCCCCCCCCTCTGTGAAGAAACGTAACAAAATACTACTGGGACCTGGCTTACAAAATTCATGCTAGATGCAGATCCAAACCTTCGCCCACTTCGCCCAGGCGAAGGTCTGGGTGAGAAATCAAAATAAAATATTGACCATTTTTTCCAACAATCATACTTACTTTCTTTGACACTTTTTTTGAATTTTACCATTAGGAAAATGTTTAAATCCACGCTATCCTGTACCTTACACTTTTACACTGATACCAGAGAGAGGCACATTCCCAATACCTTATGGTCTTCCACTTCTAGTGCATGATATATGCATAGCAAACGTGAATTTTAGCTTTTGTATAGCTTTTCACTGGTAGGCTCAGCCTTTGTTTAGTTTTCAACCAATCAGCAGCAAGTCTCATCACTCAAACATATTTCCCTGTTTGAGATCTCTGCAGATATTATTCTCCTGAAGACGGTTGAAGCAAGTCAACCGAAACGTCGAGATATTCTCAACCAACAACAGTTCTTTTCAGAACTATGTACGTGGTGTACCGCAAGCATTAATTATATATTATACTTCGCCATGCAAACCTTCAAACAATAAACGTTATGTAACCACTAATAATACTCAGGTCCATTCTTGGCGTAGGTATGGGCAGTGCAGTATTGGGGGCTCGTTTAATAGGTCTAATCTGGTCTAATGATCTAAAAATATAACTTTAAAAAATCCTATTTAAACTTTAAAAGGACCCTTCAATAATATTAGGTTTTAGAGGCTATAATATTGATTATATTCATTACAATTTACCTATTACCAATTTCCCACACGCTGCAAATAAAAAAACCCCAACAAAACAAGCCCTTACATACGATGCACTAATGTATTTTTTGAAATCACATTTCTAAAGCAATAAAATATCGTCACGCACATTTGTGTTTATGGTATTTTAAAGTTGGTTCAACTATTATTGTGTACGTTTTTAAACACTTCAGATCATCATAACTTCACGAATACATTTTATATTCACTTCACTGCAAGTAGGTTGATGAATGCTGTATTATTGAATGGTAATTGTTATTATCGTGATGGAATAGACAATACCTGGATTTGCGTCAGGAGAATCAATTAGGGGGCCTATATGTATTTTGCCCAACCTGTCGTGAATATGTATTGAATAGGCCTACTCAGTGCGTGATGCACTAATATACTTTTTGAAATCACATTTCTAAAGCAAATCTTAGAATTAGAATAAAACATTTGAATTTGCTTAATTTGTATAATTAATTAAGTTATTAAAAATCCCCGTCAATTTCCGGACAGTTAAATAATAACACTCCTGTGTTCTTCTGCATGATCCTTAAATTGCCAGGTATTTTTTGGTTGGGGCTGAGGGGAGAAAATTTTAGGAAATAGTACCCCAAGATGGCCGGAAACGACACTTTTTAAATAGTAAAATTCATCGTTATCACATCACCATTATAATATAGTCAAAATGAAGCGCCAGCAAATTCTCATTATCTTTTATCAGCTATTTTCGGCAACCATAGAGATCTAATTGTATCTCTAGATTGCCGGACATGACAATCTTATATAGTAAAATTCATCATCTAATTAATCGCTGTGATGTACCATAGAAAATACTACTTCATGTGCCGAAACGCTTTTTCTCATAGTTCTCAAATTATAATAAAGGCACGCGCACTCGAGTCGAGTATTATAGGTAATTCAGATGTTTGTGGGCAGAGATACCGGCATCTTGCTATAAAATACGATGTACTCTGGCTGTACAGCGCTTTTTCAGGCATATCTTCTTCACTCACGAAAAGTGAGGGGACCATACATTCCCCCTTAAAAAATATGCAAGGGAACGTTTACAGGGGTGGCGCCCAGCGGGGGATGGGATGGGAGCCAGGCCCCCTCGTCGGGGAGAGCTGCCCATCCACCCCCCCCCCATCGGGAAGAGAGACCACAATTCGTCCGGTAGAAAACAAATTTTAAGTATTTTGTAGATACTCTAAAATCGAATAAATAAGCCTTTGAAACCCATAAATAGTCAAAATTTCGGGAGATTCTCCCCCTAGACCACTTTCGAGGCTTTTAAAGCGACGTTCGACCACGCCCACTTTGTTCTTGTCGGGGAGATTTTTCCCCTCGTCGGGGACATCCAGTGGCGAAGTGGCCTACATTTCAAGCGGTCTCGGACCGATGCATCCATTTTTCAAAGGGAAAAATAATAATAATTCAGATAATTATCTTTGAAAATACTAATATTCAAAAATATTCATAATACACGACTGAAGTTCACACAAATTCTATGAATAACCTCAAACACCACAGAGTGTAGCTCCCCCGGAGCCCTAAACTAATGCCTGTAATATGCAAAAAAAATGCTTAGAAGTTTCATTATATATAGGCCTACATATTTATTTTCTGTACTAAAAAGCGCCCTTAGTTACTGGACCACCCCTGGTAAGATGGATACAAAACTCAACATAATAAATCCAGAATTTTAGGAATTTTGTGTCTCGTGAAACTTTGTCCACATTGAAGTAAAGATGATATAATAATTTATTATAGAAAACCTCCGAAAAGGAGAGATATAAAATGCATTCAAAACACTTCACGTGATATTCAATGTTGTCTATAGGTGGCGGTATAAACTTGCGCATATTCTACTGTATTGTAATTGGTAATGACTGCATGATGATTGGTAATGACTGCATGATGACTGGTAATGACTGCATAGTGATTGGTAATGACTGCATGATGATTGGTAATGACTGCATGATGATTGGTAATGACTGCATGATGATTGGTAATGACTACATGATGATTGTGAACTGAAGGCAGAGGAGGCGTTCCATAGGTGTCTGCCGTTACGTCTAAAAACGGATACTTCTGAAAAATTGTCTTAACACTATAAGATAATCCATCTTCATTAAAATTGTACTTCAAATCATATTTCAGTTTTATTTTTGACAACTGTCAAATAACATATTAAATAACATCATATTGGAAAGAGTGAGTTCTTTATTCTATCAACCAGTGTATTGCGAACTGATACACTTTGGGTGGCCTCACAATTTAGTAAGTGAGAATAAAACTATTGAGATTTAGAGTCGCTTCTAAAAATCTGTGAAATTAAGTCAAGATGATAATTATTAATAATATCACAGATCTTTGGCAAACGAAGAGCAGACAGCAGCGGAGACGATCTGGAGTATTTGGGTATGCCCAATGAAGTCTTTGGTAAGTCTTGATTTTTTTCAAGTTTCTGAATACAACCAGAATTAATATTAATAGGTACATTGAGAGCCATATACTAAGATAGCGTAATATTCAGTGTAAAAACATGAAAAAAGACATTTGAAAACCCCAATTGGTACTAAAAACAACCCAAGTAACAAAATGAATCTTAAGTAGATTTAAAATTTAAAAAATGTTAAAAAAGGGGTTGGTTATTAATTTAAAAAATGGTAAAATTAAAATTAATAGAAATGAACTAACTGAAACTGAATACAAAGAAATTCGTCCAGTATCAACCATGCCTGCTAGAGCCCATGGGCTACCTAAATTACATAAAGATTTTGATAATATTCCACCCCTAAGACCTATTATTGACACGACCGGTACTTGTTATTATTCAGTAGCTAAGTTCTTATCAAACTTATAGTAGAGGCTAAATATGGTTTAACCTTAAGCAAACTCTAATAAAAGGACTTTTTGTATATTCTAAGTGTAGACACAATTTTCGTGCTTTGAGACGAAGTAATTAAGGATTTACGACCCGAAACATGCTATATAAAAGCTATTCTGACCTTTGACCCTGAATATTTAGTCAACGCAGCTACTATAAGGCGTCAAAAATTTCCCATAATTGTTGTCCCGAAAAATCTCGGTGTAGGCACTATTTTTGTGCTTTTAGAGCAAGAAGTTGAAGAGTTACGACCTGGAACATGTAGCCTGGGTTCCAGGCCCTAATTTTAGGTTACTCCCTCTTTATTGCACTTAGTGAGCGCCATACCTAATTTAATTGGCGTCCCATACTCGATTCTTTTTTTTCGCTTATTCCGTCTATAAATTGACTTTCTCGTTGGTGGCGCTGTCCAGAATGAGAAAAATAATAAAAAATAAGAGACTTGTGGCAAGTCTATGGAACATGCTGCATACAGGTAATTGACCTTTGACCCTGAATATTTTGTAAACGCAACTATAAAAAGGTGGCAAAAATTTGTTCATGGCTTTTCAAATATAGGCCTACAAGAATATGCAAACAGTCCTTTTATTAGAGTTTTGTTTAAGGTTAAATAGGATTTTTGTCACATTTAGCCTGTACTAGTAGAGGCTAAATATGGTTTAACCTTAAACAAACTCTAATAAAAGGACTTTTTGTATATTCTTGTACGTCTATACGTAAATAATTATGGAAACATTTTTGCCGCCTTTTTATAGTTGCGTTGACCAGATATTCAGGGTCAAGGGTCAAAGACCTGTATATAACATGTTCTGGGTCATAAGTCTTTAACCACTTGCTCTAAAAGCATAAAAATGGTATTTACACCTGGGTTTTAGGGGTCAACAATTATGGAAACATTTTTGCCTTTTAGCGTTGACCAAATATTCAGGGTCAAAGGTCAATGACTTTTATACAACTATGATTGTCATAACTCCTCAACAAGTTCGCCTAGATGCACAAAAGTAGTGGCTACACCTAAGTTTTTGGGATCAACATTTATTGAAACATTTTTGCCAGGCTTCTAGTAGCTGCGTTGACCAAATATTCAGGGTCAGAGGTCAATGACCTTTATACAACATATGATGATCATAACTCCTCAACCATTTGGTCTAAAAGCACAAAAATAATGTATGAATTACTATGTCTATGTTAAAATAATATCTATTAAAATTGTATATTTAAATAATATAGTAATAGGCATAGCCTAGGCCTAAACCTAGTGACTAGCCTATGTGTGTAGTGTATAAAATTATGAATAAAAAGTAAATTAAGTATAAAAAGTGCAAATTGTGAAAGAATAAAGGAAGAAAGAAGAATAGGATAGAGATTTGGAACGGCTGAAATATTTTCCAAAAATATACAATTCAATATTAGTCAATATTCGACATCGAATAGGTCCGATTGATGTCGAATTTTTTTACACTACACACATACTTTAAAGGCAGTTTAAATTCTGGTACGCGTTCGAACCGCGGCTCTGGTGTGAGGAGGGTCATCAAAGCCAGCGGGAGTAAGCCCAACAATTGGTCTACATTCCTGAGATGTGATGACAACAAATCAGAGTGTTTCCATTAATT